GTAGTTTGTTACTTGCTTTCTGCTGGTTCTTCCCTGTTAATTCTCTTACTATTGTCAAAGGCTATTCCCCTACAGGTGGCAGGTGGCAAGCCAATTTGTGCAGCTTTGGTGATGGTGAGGTGAAGGAGGTATTCCTGGGAGACCCAAGGTGAAAACTCTCCACAGAGCTATTCATTTTGAATGCTGGTTATGCTGGTTAACACCTTTCTCCATTCAATTGGGAATAACTGGAATCGAGCGTGGTGGGGGGGGAGAGGGAATCAAAGGGGGTAGAGAAAAGAGAGAGAACAAGACAAGTGAAGAGAACATTGTTAGACAAGTGGAGATGGGGGGCCGGGGGTCGGGGAGCAGTGCTCCTGCGGAGAGAAGAGTGAGTACAAAAGTCTTGAGGAGGAACTGTTTTCTGTAAAAGGGTTAGAAAGAAGGTCAGCATGGCCAGGTTGTGGTATCTATGAGGTCATAAAATCTACTAGAACGCACAGAAACCCAAATGACAGGCTAAGGAGTTTGGATTTTATTCAAAGGCCAGGGGGAAATCACCTATAGCTTGCGTGGGTGTTTTGTTGTTCCAAGTATTACACAAAATTCCAATTCCAAACAGGTTTCTAGCTTTCTAAGAAGTTGCTTGCTAAAGCCTTCCAGAGTTCATGCAAGTTCTGTGGGGAAGGACTGCCCACACTAGTTGGGCAATTTAAATAAGAGTTAAGCGTGAAGAGTGACACAAGTTGTTAGCAAAGCTATATAGAAGTCTATACTCAGCACAACTGGGAAACTATCCGAAATGCTATCTCAAATACCCTAGCTAAGACAAGGGAGTTTGGAGAAGAAAGGAAATTCAGGTAGGGTGATAAGTAAGGAAAACAAAGTTACTTCTGCCATTTCCATTGAAAAGAGATAAGAGGACTAGGTATTGGAATAGACCCTTAGGGAGAAGTTTAGATAGAAATATCAAGAGCAACTCCAATCCAGAATTCAGAGCTTCCCATGAGAGAACACTTTTGTCAAAAACATGTTTTGTGGTGGCAAATTTTTGCCTACAAAAATTTTTGCCTACAGTCCCACCTTTGGAACTTCTCAAGAATTTCCACAGTTTGAAAGTACAATTGTTCAATTATTTCATGGAACTAGCCTGCCAGTCCTGAGAATAGGATCATTCCAATTAAACAGTTGTGTCCAGTTTCTGTAGGCTTTCTTATAGGTGGATCCAAAGTTAAGGCTATATTATACAAATAAGAGGCACTTTCTATGGAAACAAAAGAAAAAGAATTTAAAGAGTGAAACAAATTGTTAGGATGCTTGTTTCTAGGATGGGTCAGGACATCCTTGCTGCATCTGTAGCACTTGATAGTGGATAGGGTAATTCATATAAAGTTTTTCCTTTAAAATTATTACTTAAAACCAAATTTATTACTTAAAGCCAAACTCAATTGTAATACATTGCTATGTATCAAGTGTTGTACATGGACTCTTCCATGTATTCCTCCCACAAATTTTTGTTTTAGATATGTGATTACTGAGAGTAGGGAGTATATTAGTCAACTTAGACTGTCATGACAAATATGATAGGGCCTCCCCTGGTTGAGCACAGCGCTGTGAAGCTGTCCACAGCCTCTGCAGTGCGGATTGGATCCTGGCCAGCCGGCAAGAATCCCACATGGTGCGGCAAACCTCTCCGGTCTCACTGGCTGCTCCCCTCAGCAGTGTATTTTGTCAGTCTGCCTGTTCTGTTCCCCGCTCTGTCTCTGGTGAATCCTCTCACCCCCAGCATCTCTGGCCTGTACCCCAGCTTTTGTATGCATAAATAAATAAATCTTAAAAAAAAAAAAAAGAAGAAGAAAAACTAAACTGGCAGGAAACCTAAACATCACCATGACAGCTCACCACGGAGTCCTGAGTTCAATTGTTAGGGGGAAATGATGTCCTGAGTTAATCCCATACAGGCTTTGTGGACCCCACCCCCACTCCAGACTAAAGCCATCAAGACTCTGGGAAAGACAAATCCCATCACCACCAAGGGAGGGTGGCTGGGACCTGAGGGTAGAGTTGGGCAGCCAGGTTGAATATAAAAAACCAAACACGTGGGCCTTGGGCTCTCTCTGGCTCACGATCGCTCGCCTCCTGGCTTCACCGCTCCTGGCTGGCGGCCAACTCTGAGAGCGCCATTTTGGGATTCCTAATCGGCGGATCGGGTAGGACTCATTTAAAACTTTGTCTCCCACTTTTCTCCCAGAGCTGTACATTTCCTCATTTCCCCTTCCCTTGTAAATAAACCTTTTATTAACCTTTCACGTGTGCCTGCAGTAGAGCATTAATAAGTCCTTTTAAGCGCGCGGGTGAGGACCCACAGTCAGGCACCCCGTTTTGTACCGGGGTTGCTCTACAACACTATCACTGGCCAGGGAACTAACCCACATGACGCAGCAGACCTCTCCTGTCTCACCCACTGCTCCCCTTAGCAGTGTATTTCAGTAGATCTGCTTGTTCTGTTCCCCACTCTGTCTTTGGTGAATCATCTCCCTCTGCCCACCCCCCGACCTACACCCAACTTCTTCTACACAAAAATAAATAAATATAATTTAAAAAAAAAACAAAACAAAGAAAAGTTGTAAACATTTCATCACCTTTATGGGTTTGAGGCCTGGCGTCTTATTTGTATGAAAAGATTAGTGTTTCCCCACATTTTATCACAAATGACACTTTAATCAGATATATCATTCAAAATATTAGTAATCTGAACAGGGAACTGACCAACCAAAATAGACCAGGATTAACAGGTTTGAGTATACTGACTGAATGTCAGACCTCGCCCTGACTCTGATTTTATATCCATGGAGCTCATGATTTGAGCCCCATGAAAGGTTCTACTTGTTAAACACATTCCATAAATTAAGGGAAAAATAATCTATTCCCAATATCTTAACTTAATAATAGATTCTATAATTAACACCAATTTAAGAGCAGTGTAAAACACTATATTGATAACAAATAAAACACACATCTATAAAATGAGCCTGTCAGTTGGTCTGTGTGGCCTTATGTGTAATTCCATGCAAATGTGTAGTTGCCATTTGGTATTTTGAAATATCAAAAATATTTACCTAACTTTATAAAAATAAAATTCCTGAGGACAGGCGGCCTGCTGTCAAATTTAAGTACCACTTATCCTGAAGATACTTTAAAAATCAATCTGTCTATACCTTCATCTGTATATATATTTGTAACTCTCATATCTATACACATACCATATAATGTGTTTATAATTGATACATTATTGGGCCTCCCCTTGTGGCGCAGGCGGTTGAGCACTGCGCTGTGAAGCTGTCCGCAGCCTCTGCAGCGCTGGTTCGATCCTGGCTGGCTGGCAAGGGTCCCACATGGCGTGGCAGACCTTTCCTGTCTCGCCCCTTGCTCCCCTCAGCAGTGTATTTTGTCAGTCTGCCTGTTCTGTTCCCTGCTCTGTCTCTAGTGAATCCTCTCACCCTCCCACACATCTGGCCTGTACCCTGGTTCATGTATAAATAAATAAACAAATCTTAAAAAAAAATACTAATTGACACATTCTTTAGTTGCCAAAATGTCTCTACTGCTCCTTTGTCCTACACATTTATGCTATATTCTTTTACCCACCTGGCCTCTGAAGGCCTAGATGTGTTTTTAATCTCTGATTTAGATTTTTGTATGTTTTTGGAGACATCATTTTGCCAATGTCAGTATCCAGTGATACTGTGATAGGGTTTTAAAATTTTTCTGAGTTGGCTCCCTCTCTTGAAGGACTGACTGTTAACTGAGAAGATTTTACTGTTTACATTTGTCAAGTTCTGCTTGAGCTGAATTCACCTTGATTTCCATTTAGTTCAAAGACATTCTTGCTCTTTAAATTATAATATTGACCTTCACAGTGGTTTTGAAAAGCAGAGCTGAACTTCTGTACTATGTAAAACTTCTCTTTTCATTTTTGTTTTGATTCTTCCCTCTTACCTTCCTTATTCCTTCCCAGAAACTAATTCCCTTAAAAATTCAAGTCCCCAGACTCCACCCTAAAAAGCATCTGTGATCTCGAGTACTTCATGATGGCCTCTTGCTCCATCCACATGCACAAGTGCATGGGAAGGTCTTTGTGCTACCTGGTCGTGCCTGCTTCTTTCTGTCTTGCCCTCTCCAGTCTTCCCCTGGGACCACTTGCTGATGCTGCAGTAACATCCTGGCTAAGATTCTGCCAACTTTGTGTCCTAGATGTGCTTGTCTTTCTCTCCCATTGTTCCTTGTAAAGATGATGGATAATTTTAGTTAGAATAGTAGTAGAAGGGCAGCCAGGAGAATGCTGAATGGTGATAGTGCACGTGGCAGATATAATGTCTTTTTGATGAACATGAATGAGCTTGAGTGTATTTTGTGAAGTACATTTTAAGGACTTTGTGACAAAACATTACAACCTGACCTTCTCATTCTTGCTTGTATTCATAAGAACTGAATGTTCGTGTGTTCTGACTTTCACATTGCTTTGCTAACATTAAGTAAGAGAATGAGTGGGAAATATGACAGAACTTGAAAAAGTTTTTCTTTCTCCTTTAAAAAAAAAAAGGCAGATGGTGTTTGGAACACAACTTGCCACAGAACACGAAACATAAGAGCTCTGGCTTTTTGAAGGAGAATTAAAAGTTGAGATTTTTAAATGATTAAAAATTAGCTTTAGGTTCTCCCAGGGGCTTAAAGAGAAAGAAAAAATTGAGAAATGGGAGTGTACTGCAAAATAGGCTTTGTGTAACAAGTACCTCAAACCACAGAAGTCACATGGGCTCTTTCTGCTTTGCTACTTTTAATTACTAGGCAGAGGGTTATACTTTTAGCTTTCCCCATCCTGTAAGGCCACTCAACCATGTGCTAGCTGGAGTAATCTTTATTCATAATGTCTTTACAAAGGCTCATGCAACAGAGCAACAATGGCAATTTGGTGGACCACTGCTCTGGTACAGAGTATAGCTCTTACTCCTCACTTACAGACAGCCTTCCCATGGATGATAATAGAAGGATTCAAATGCTTGCAGACACGGTAGCTACTTTGCCTCGGGGACGGAAGCAGGTATGATTTCTATTTTGTACTGTTAATTGAGTGTTCATGTTCTCTTGAGAGCAGAGTGATATGTTTGTCTGACTGCATACTAAAAATGTCATTATAGAGACTTTGGAATTAGTTATTAAGAACATGGATGAGAAAGAAGGTGGGGAACCCAGAGAGTTTATGACTAGTCCAAAGATTTAAGACCATTATCAAAAAGTTTTTTGTGGCAAGGAAAAACTCAAAAGAAGTTTTGTACAGACCAAATGAAAATCATTAAGCACATAAAACTTGAAGATGTTTTATATAGGTACAATCAATTTAAGAATTATTGATTTTTACCCCTCCTGCCTTTAAGCCACCTATTGATTCTTTCCCTCCTAGTCTTAATCTCAGTCCTAGACAGTGATTTCAGCTCATAATCAAACAAGAGTACTTTATTAAGGAAAAATTTTGTCAAGTAAGTACATTATCTTCAGTTCTGAGGCATGATCATATACCTCATGATATTGGGAATTAAGACTTTATTGGATAAATGAGTACCAGGGAGAACATGAGTTTGACTACCTAATAGCCATGTAGTCTTGAGCAAGTCACCAACCTCTCTAAGATTCTGTTGTCTTTTTTATAAGATGAAGATAATAATAGAAACAAGTTATGGGGTGGTTCTAGGCTTAAGTACAGAAACAATGTAACTGACATGTAGTATGTGCTCAATAATTATGTTATTATTTTTGTTTTTAGTGTAAAGTATTTCCCTAAAGATAAAAACCCTTTCCAAGGAATCCATGTTCAAGTAAATTTATTTTGAATTTGTTTCAGTCTACAATTTTAAATTTGTCAATTTTTTTTAAACCATAACACCTCTTTAGGTTTTGTTTACATACTTTCTATAATGCTCCAAGTGGGTCTCTGAACTTAGATAAAGCACTTGTACAGAAACAATTAAGAAATGCTTTGAAGAAGGACTTTTTGCCCTAACTTTTGCCTGTGATTACATGTTTTTCTTAAACCTTGTAATTTCAGGATTCTGCATAGAAGGAGAATCATCATAATTTCCCAGTTATGTGCATAGCTGATTCTTTATTCTTTTTCACAATAAAGATAAGGGCATAATTTACCATGGTTTGCATTACAGACCTTTTGCAATTCTAAAGTGCTTTTATGACATTGTTTAATGTAATGATGAACATTTTTATTAATTTACTACCTGTCTGAAATAAAGCAATTGTAGGAAGTGCCAAATTCTTTGTTCAATTTTCAGATATAGAGTGGCACAGGGCATATGAAGATGAAAAGGACTTATTTGCTGCCCTTGTATGGGCTTACAGTTCAGCAGGCAGAACAAATAGGCATTATACAACATAAATATTTTATTCCAAGTACATGTCTTTTTATAGAAGGTTCAAGGATAGATATTCCAGATATTTGTAGGGGTATTCCAGAACAAAGGATGAGGTGTAGATCTTGGGGTCTTAGGACATGACTAGGTAACAGCATAATTTTGTGTCAGGAGAGCCTAGTGTCTGGGTGAGAGATAAGGGAGACCTGGAAGCAGGGCTCTTTAACAGTATTTGACCAGTTATCAGAACTTTAATCCAGAAATACAATGTTTTGGCAAGTGAGGAGAACTGGTGGTAAGCTAGCTACTTTTGTGGTAGTTGGAGAAAGAGGAAATGAGGGAATGGAGGGGAAACCAAGAGACTTGACTATGAAAGACATTAAAGACAGATGAGACACATCAGATTTTAAGTCTGAGTAAAGAGAAATTGAATTGATGGGCCTCCCCGGTGGCGCAGCAGTTGAGCGCTGGGCTGCGAGGCTGCCCGCAGCCTCTGCAGCACCGGTTAGATCCCCGGCCACCAGAGAGGGTCCCACATGGCACACAGACCTCTCCTGCCCGCTGCTCCCCTCAGCAGTGTATCTCATCAATCTGCCTGTTCTGCTCCCCGCTCTGGCTCTGGTTAATTCTCTCACCCTCCTGCGCTTCTGACTGTACCCAGTGCTTATATAAATAAATACATAAATCTTAAAAAAAAAAGAGAGAGAACTTGAATTGAAAAAAAGGCAATCAGTAGGAGAGACTGGGTATTTGAGAAAGATAATTTAAACACATGGAATGCATGTGTGTGCTTGTGACCATGGCTGTATATAATGTATGCATAAACATGCAAACATATTCTCACACTGGTTTATTTATTTGTATGTTCTCATTTTTGCATGTTTTTGTCTCTTCTGTTTTCTCATATTCTTCCCCGTGGTAGACAACTCCTATTCATTCAGCTTTTTCTTACTTCTGTGAGAATTACTTTAAGAGTGAAAATGCAAAAGAAGACCTCTTATACGTGATATTTCTGATTCTATACAATTATTATCAATGAGACTTGAGGCAAGCATATTCCAACATTTCAGAATTTTCCAAATGGACGTTCATTTCCTTTACCTGGTTTTTAGAGAAAAATCACCCATTTGGCACCAACTTAATTGCAGGCAACAAGATCCCTGGGAGGCAATCACATGAGCAGGTGTTTCTCTGCCTACAGTTACTTTCAACACTTTTGGGGTTGACATCAGTAATTCTGACTGCTTGGTATTGTTGGCTGTGGTTTCTGTAAAGCTGATCTGTTTAACCTGGAGTTTCAGATTAATTGTTGGAATCATTTGGATGTTGACACTCAGGATAGCTTAAAAATAGATTTCTGTGTGTGTGTGTACTATCTTCTTACCTGTCTTTGTAGGAGGTGACAGGACACTTCAGGACAGCTTCTACTTCTGAACATGGCCATAGAAAAAATATCTCTGCAATGGAAAGCCCCGTGGGAAGGAGGCAGGAGGAAATAAGAATAACCTTTGTAAATGTGATGATGCCAAGGAGTAGCAATTAATTGTACCTATGGCCCTCTCTCCAGAGAGAGGTGGGCAGTAAAAAATTCAGATTTACTGAATGCTGTAGTGAGAAATGGGAACCTAACAAACAGGCGAGATGCTTACATGTGAATTAGTAGGACCACAAGCTATCTGTGTGTCATTTTCTTTTAGTTATCAAATTATTAAATAGGCAACTTCTGGAAAAGTGATTGCATTTAAGAGTTGAGACATGCAATAGTGTGCACACCTCTGGGGTTGTGCGTTTCTGGCTTGGTTTCTGCCTCAGGAACTTTCACATCTTTCTGGCCACAAACCACCTGTTACCAAAACTCCAAGCATTCCTTAATGCAAGCAGATATTTGATCATTTAATAAATACTTTGGGTATAAAACTGTTTATTTCACTACAAATGAACTTTGAAAAAGACTGTCTAGTCCATACTGTAGCATGTTTGGAGTCAATATGCAACCATTTTTCTTGAAAAAGTTTCCAGAGCCCATAATAAGACATTCCTGGAAATGGCAAGGGTCTTTTCAGATTCCTGGAGGGCACTCACAAGTTAGGAAACTGATTTCATCTCCATTATGTTGCTTTATTTTAGAATAGTCTGCTAAGGTACTGCTTGTGACTCCAGGCATATAAAGCTGTGTTCCAGGAAGCACTGGGGAGAGTGAGGCAGGGGCCTGGGAAGCCAGCAGAGCACATAATTTGGGGACTTTTGAAACAACAGAACAAGAAAAAAGTCTCACTTGTAAATAAGGATCCTCCCTTCCCCACCCCACCCCTCCCAACACTTTCAGGAAATGAGTACACAGTGAGCACCAGGAAGTCAGTCTCTTACTTAGCTGCAGAAGTGGCTGCAGAAGTGAACTTTGAGCTCCTCTTAGCTGGCTCAGCTCAGATGATCACTATCTTTTGCAAACTGACAGCTGAAGTATCTGGTTTTGGTTTGCCACTGAGGAGGGACATTGTGAATCAGTGCATAGCAACAAAAATTACATTTTGAATATTAATGCCTGATCTTTGAAATCAACTGACTAAAAACAGAAGAAAAGGACCATCGGCTCAACCTCAGGCTTCTTTGTATATCAGTGACTAGTGAGGGGCTAAGGAGCTTTACTCTGCAGTCATAATTGAATGTGTAGCTTGCAGGCCTGCCAAATTGCAGAAACCTAGGTTTCTCATATTAGATAATGTGTAATAAAAGACAGCTGTTGCCAACATATGCTGTTCTTTGCACAGCAATTCTTCATTCAGGAGTTTTGGTGCTTTTACTGCCGCCCTGAGAAAAGGCTCAGTCTGGGAGGTGAGTCTGGAGAGTGAGACTCCACCCGTGAGAGCCTAGAATAATTGGGCTGCACCCACTAAGGAAAGGCCTGCAGGGAAAACAACTTTTCCCCAAATGTAAGACCTTTGATAAGACCTTAGGCATACTTAGGCATACTTCTTTGCACTTAGGCAGATAAGTAGGGTGTGCAAGCAAGGTCGAACTCAGAACATTCCTTTCCCCATTGCCTGAGTTCTGACAGCCCAGATCAAAAACAAGCAGCCTTTGTGTCAAGATGTGGCACGTGTCAGAGACTTTGATGGTGCCTAATTTATTTAAATTGTTTTTTAGTTAAATGTTAGGTACCTAAGATGGCTCACTGCTAATCTAGAATAGGAATTAATTTATAATTTGACTTAGTCTCATTTTTTGTGTGTCACTGATAACCCAAATCAGTCAGTCCACAGGAAAGGGAGTATCTCCATGTGTCTCACATTGTGCTAGGCAAATAGTCTCATTTCGTTTAGTCATTGAACTAGAAAGAGAGGTTAGAAAGGAGCTGGAGAAATTTCCTTCTCCACAGAAGTCTTGGATTTGTTTTGTGGATTTATGAGATTTTAGATTTGAATATATTGGGAGTGATTTTTGTTTTAGAAGGTAGCTTGAGGGGAGACCAGGTGAAATCTTGAGGCTTCAATTAATGCTACGATTATTTGCTTAGCAAAAGGGCATATAAAATTACTGAGGAAAGGCTTAAATATTATAATTTATTAATTTCTTCTACCATTCATTTTACAATTCTATATTAAGGTATTAACGTTGTTTTCAATTAGCTTTTTTCCCGTCATTGTTGATATTTCTGGATTGAGATTTTGGTTTCATTCTTATTTGTTTTCCTTCATTTTTAATCCTGATACATGTTTCAAAATCTTATTGAACATTTTTAAGTGATTACTGTTGAATTTTGTTTAATGAATATTTAATGAATAATAAAGTTGAAACTATCTGAACACATTCCTTCTGAACTTGAATATTTTACTTTGGGTGTTTCAACAACAGTCACTTGCACGTATCATTGTCTGGTAGTTCACTTCTATTAGTCTATTTAGCTTTTTTTAAAAAAAGATTTATTTATATATGCATGCAAGAACTGGAGTATAGGCCAGAGTTGTGGGGGGTGAGAGGATTCACTTGAGACAAAGTGGGGAACAGAACAGGCAGATTGGCTAAAATACACTGCTGAGGGGAGCAGTGGGGGAGTCGGGAGAGGTCTGCTGCACCATGTAGGTAGCTCCCTGGCCAGGGATTGAACTCGTGCTGCAGTGGCTGCTGCACGCTTCATAGGTTGCATCTTAATCCTCCCTGTGCCATCAGGGAGGCCTAAGTCTATTTAGCTTTTTCTATTTCCACTCTAAGTCCTGTGGTAGGTACTAGAGTAGAAAGAAAAACATACATTTCCAAGATGTCTAAAGCATATTGATAATTATATACAGAATGATCAAGTACATCCTTCATGTAAATATACATTCATGCCTCTCTCTATAGGAATATGTAAATACCCTGATGAATATTGATAGCAAGGGAAATATATTTTTGTGGAGATTTTATTCTATTATTTTTCTATTTTTAATGAAGTACTATTGTTTTACATCTTTGTTAATATTTTCACAATATAAGATTTCTTCCCTTTGGCGTAGTCAACATAGCTCTTACCATGAAAGCACCTGTAGTCTTCCACCATCATGCAAAGGTAATATTTTAAAATATAAATCCTAGTAATTATAGATAACTAGATATTGCCTACATAGTACCCTGCAGTCTGAAGTAAGTATAAAAGACAAGCAGATGAATAGAAATAGAAACTATAAATACAACATAAGGAAGAGACTGAGGATGAGTGTGTGTATGAAGTTCATTGCTCTCCTAACAAGAAGAAGGTCCACTACATAGCTGAATGTTACCCCCACACTTGTTAATGGTTTATATTAGGACAAAATCAGACTGAAACGAATCAGACAAATTGCTGTAGGCCTTCCATGTTAATCCTTATAAGTATCTTGTAGCCAATCTAGAGATTCTTTTTGGGTCTGAGTCTTCTTTGTACAACCTTCAGAATGATATGAATCATTTAAGTTCCAGAACGGACAAAGAGGAAAGTATAATGAATTTACATCGAGTTGGTTGGCAAGGGATCAGATTTCCATTGCATTAACTTTACTGACCAATGGCTGAAGTCTAAACATTGAGTCATTCCAGAAATGTGAGATTGCTGGCATATGTCCCTGATAATTCAACTTATTTACAATGATATAGCCTTCTTTTGTGCATTAATTTCTTCTACGTATTTTTTCCTGACTTGATCCTGTACTTTTTTTATTTTATCCATTTGAACTGACTGTGCATGTATCACCTGAAATTATATGTGTGTATGTGTGTGTGCATTTGCTAACATATGACAGTATAACATTTAACATATGACATTAGGTTGATATTTAAACCATGGGTTAGCTAGGTTAGCTGGTAGCGTAAGTATATGTTTAATTACTAAACACACAAAAATTCAAAGCAATCACCTAAACAACACCTTTGGTAGCTTTTCCACTATTTACAATGGTAGAATAGTATTCTGGAAGGTTAAGCTTCCAGAAACCATGCAGATGACTGAAGGTGAGATATTATTTATACCATTTATACCATCTTTATTAAAAAAAGTTTTATTTATGCATACAAGAACTAGGGTACAGACCAGAGTTCTGGGGGGTGAGAGGATTCACCAGAGACAGAGCAGGGAACAGAACAGGCAGATTGACTGAAATACACTGCTGAGGGGAGCAGCGGGCGAGACAGAAGAGGTCTGCTGCGCCATGTGAGTAGTTCCCTGGCCGGGGATCAAGCTCGTGCTGCAGAGGCTGCAGACAGGTTCATAGGTTGCGTCTTGATCCCTTGTGCCACCAGGGAGGCCCATTTATACCATGTTGAGGTTCCCTTTCTTGCCTGGAAATCATACTTCACTCCTTTAAAACTACTGCAAAAATAAATCATAAACAGAGTTAAGGTTTTGACTTCCAGGTCTCAATTGACTGTATTTCTGCATGAGTTGGTTCTTTACACATTATTTTATCCTGCTAAGACAGTAACATGTTGCAGTATTAAAATGAACAGTCTTTTCATCATCCTCCAAAACTATAAAGTATTTGGGTTTTATATGCCATTATATGAGTGTTATTTTGGGGTTCCAGTATGATTATAAATTGTTATGAGCCATCTTTCAGAAGCTGTTTTAAATACACATCAGATATTGAGTACTTTTTGGAAGTTTTGGAATTTTTGCCACAGTATATTATTATCAAAGCCTCTTTTAATCTTTTGAAAGGATGCTGAAAATTTCCTTCCTAATTTGTCTTTTGCTATCACCAGAGAATGCAAGTTATTGCTGTTATGTAACAATTTCCCAGGAACTGGGCCAAGGAAGCTGGTTCAAAGAATGTGATAACAAATAAAATCCTTTATGATTTAAGATATTTTACAGCTGTGTCTTAAGGACCTTTTGATAACTGTGCTTTTTTGTGTTTTTCAGCTTGCCTTGCTGAGAACAAGTTCTTTAGGTGAATTTTCCTGGTCTCAAAGGTAAAAAGATTCATTTATCTTACAGCTTCTCACCAGATTATTGATGTCATACACACACAGAGTCATAAATATAAAAATTTACATAAATATCACTTATTTTTAATTGTGACAATTAATTTTATGTTTAGTATATTCCAAATATACTTTGAGTCCATGTTTATTTGTTTATTTATTTATATTACAGAAAGCTTGTTACTGTGGAAAAGCAGGATAATGGAACATTCGGATTTGAAATTCAGGTGAGCAGTTTTCAAATTCTGCCGGCTTTTAATGAAGAAAATAGTACTGATAGTACCATGATATTTGCAAAGAATGAAGTCTGGCATGGAGAATATTAGAGACTGCCTTTTATTCAACATGTGGTTGTTTTGGATAATTTTTCTGTGTGTTGAGTACTGTCAAGGAAGGAAAACATTGTAGTAGCAAATATAAAATCCCTACACAATCCTCAGCAACTTGCTCTTGCTTTAGCCTTCCACTAAATCTGAGATTGATGCAAATTGCTCAATATCAGCCAGAACTTGGTCCTCCCCAGTGGCGCAGCGGTTTGAGCGCACCGCTGTGAAACTGTCCTCAGCCTCTGTAGTGTGGGTTTGATTTCCGGATGGCCAGGGAGATTCCCACGTGGCGAGGCAGACCTCTCCTGTCTTGCCTGCTGCTCCCCTCAGCAGTGTATTTCAGTCCATCTGCCTGTTCTGTTCCCTGCTCTGTCTCTGGGGAATGCTTTCACCCTTTTGTACCTCTGGCCTGTACCCCAGCTCTTGTATAAAAATAAATGAATCTTTAGAAAAAATACTCCTTATTGATGTACATTTTATTTCCTCACATTTCTGATGTTTTGCCTAATTATTTACACTGTGCATCAGATTTTAAAACTTTACTAGGTGATATGGAATTGGAAAGTCAGTGTATATTTTATGGTTAGAAACAGTAAACAGTTGTGTCGATCACATTTAATGAGTAAGGAAACCAAATGGAATTCTAGCTGAATGCAGAGGAGAAGGTTGTAAGAGAAAAGCTAACTTCAACTTTTTTAACATTTCTGTCTTTAAATTTGGTGATGTCTACAATTCTTCCCTCAGGTTTTAGAAGCATAGTCCTCTCTTATTTCCCATTCACATGAAACATTCCCTATTTTGTTGAAGAGACACTGTGCTTTTTGTGACCAATTCTTTTAAAATTAGAACTACCCACAAGGATGTGCAGCAGTTGCTACTAAGAATAGGATCATGACTACTCTCTTATTTATCTTTATTTAATGTGACAAATGAGGAGTTTTTCTCACTCTTTGATAGTATATGTCACTGTGCCCACACTTCTCTCTCATAACAAAACTCATAGTCTAAATGGAGCAAGAGTCAAAGCTATTATTAGCAGACGAATGGCTACAGTGCCTTGAAGATCTGTATGAGCCGCTGGCTTCATCCCTGATCTGCAGCATAGGTGTGTATCTCACAACACAGGGCCCCACTCTATTGCAAATACCTTTTTTGGTATGTGCTTTCTGTTACCGACTCCAGGATGCAATCCATGCTCCAGGACTCCTAAAATTTGCAGTAATATCAAATAGGGGAAATGCCCTGGGAACTTTTGGAAGCCCCTAGAGAACCTCATTCTCTATACTCTGCGCTGATTGTCAGTACGTATTTGGGTTGCCGTCTGCCAGGTGAAGGGCACATGGAAAGAGAACAAGTCCATCTTTCTCTGGGTTTCCACAGGTGCTAGTTTTACAATGCTAATGTTAGGAACACAGACTTTAGAATTCATGGACACCTGAGTTCCTGTTCTCGCAATAGTGCTTTATGGGTTTTTTAGGAGTTTCAAATGAAATCACATATACAGAATGCATACGTAGGAATCAGTAGAAGATCAACAAATGACAGGTTTCATTTCAAAATGAATGCCACTGGGCATGTCAAAGGACAGTGTGACCTCTGTGTCTCTACAGAATTCAGGTGATCATTCTGTCACTGGCCCCTGAAAATGAGAGCTAGAAAACTGGCTAAGGAGAGATAGAAATATCTGCCTATTTATTCCTCTCCATTACTTTAAGGCCTCTGCATTTTCTCCTCTATTATTAACCTACAAATTTTGTACCTATTGCAATAGATATGCTGGTACCAGCTACATAAACCAATATGATTTCCCTTCGTTGTACTCACTTTGATCAATGAACATGGGGAATCGGCACTGCAAATGAGAATCATTGTACCAAAGGAGTGTCTGTTATAATTTCGGTTCATGTTCCATAGGAACTAGACTGCCTTCTATCTTTGGAAGTGTCCAGGCTATGGAGAGAAGACTTCTTGGCAGAAAAAAGCTGTTAAAGTGTTCTGTGTTATAGATGGAAAGTATGTTGCATGACTTTTGACAGTTCCTTCTGCCATTAAGTTATGGAGATTCTAAATACCTTGTAGAATGAATAGAAGCCCTGCTAGAGGTTAATAAAATAAATTTTCTGGAAGTTGTTTGACTTGACTGACTTCTGGTTCTGGAGCTTGTAAGTCTATGAAATAAGGAGTGAACATCATACCTTAGTTTCTCCACAAGGAAACAGTACTGCAATGTGATTTTAGGAATCAGATGTTTAAAGGAACTCAAAATGCTATTATTATTCTATCAATAAATAGAACTAGCCCTCATAATTTATTTGTGAAAAAGCAAAATGTGTTACAGGTGGTTGGGTCACATATATAGCAAACATATATGCAGTGTTCTTGGTATGCAGTTTTCTTTGTAAAAATGAAAACAAAAGCAAATTATCCAACCAAGTCACTTTTGTCAAATTTAGGCAATACGCAAAGCCTAACTCTTTCTCTTTTAGTTGGGTGACTAATGAACCATTAAGTATTCAGGTCAGGCATACCAGAAAGTGCTCAGAAATGAAGGTAATTGAGTCAATTATAGTACTTTTGAATTAATGCAGGGCAGATTGTCATTATTTGCAGAACTCTGATTTTAAATAATTGTTGTTGGCATATCTCCCTTGCTGGATGCGTACTGTTTTGTATAGTCCTGTAATGAATGCTGTAGGTTTGAAGAACCACACGGAGCCTTTTCTCTCTGCTCTTGGCCTCTGTTGTTTTAGCCCATTAATATACAATACAGTAATGATAGTATCAGTGGACGCTTAGGCTTAAAAGCACAAAATCTCAAGCATTCTTTTTCTTCCTTCCTTCTTGAGCCAGAATAATTTTATGAATGGGCTTGGCCACAGATTTTTGGGTAAAAATGCAAAATTGATACCTTTGATTTAGTGTGTAGTCAAGAAAGCCTCCCCAGATTGCTCTTTGCACCTGTATATTACCACTTCAGTAATTGATACTTTATTTTTTGACAAATAGATTTTAAGTTTTTGAGTAATCATTATGTGTCACTTTAATTTTTATAGACTTTCCCATTCCCGATCCAGAACACCTACTCCTCAGAGATGTACACTCGGATCTGCAAGATCCAGGAGGACAGCCCAGCACAGTGCGCTGGTCTGCAAGCTGGTAACTTAGAAGTTTTGTTCATGCTAGGAATTATTTAAATAACAAGAAAACTCTTAATAGTGAAGGTCAGGGAATGGTTGTTGCATTGGACATTCTTGGTGCCTTTATATTGCTAAGGTTTTGGACTTGCTTGTTTTGTTTCATTTGTGTGCCAGAAGGGATTATTTAACTGCTTGAACATTCATTTTCTTGGCATCTCCCAGGTGATGTCCTTGCAAATATCAATGGTGTGAGCACGGAAGGCTTCACCCACAAGCAAGTTGTTGACCTGATCAGATCGTCAGGAAACCTACTAACGTAACTATCCATCTGCTTCCTGTGGGGCTTCAGAAATGTTAAGGTCTCTCATAATGCCTGTTGAGTGAATGAATAGGCTTTTGTTCAGGGTCACAAGAAAGGAGGCAGTGCATACAGCTTGGGGATTGGGTACAGACATTTTTTATCAGTTCTTTTTGTTTTTCAAGGTTTCCTCAAACTTGAACATATTGTCAACATCTGAAGTCAGAGGACATCAATAGCCCAGATATCTGTGTGGGAGGGATAGGATTTAAAATTTATTTTTTTATGTCAAATTCAATTAAACTGGCACACATTCTCTTTGAATGGAGAGTAACTGGTCCAATTTCCACGGTTGATATAATCTGTGGTTAGAACAAATAAAAGGTCAGAAGGGTTGGATTTTTTTCTCTTATGCCACAAGCCAGTTGTTTTTCTGTTCCAGTGTTTCATTTGGAAGAAAGAACAAAGTCTGCACAACTCTCCTTGACCTATAACACACACACTTACAGTCCAGATTTACTGCTGGAATATTGTCTTCCCCCATTAGAGATCAGAGTAATTTTTCCATAACATCATCCCTAGGACTTAATACGATCTTAGTAATCAGTTAAAAGATGGGATTCTTTTATCTGTTTTCATCTGTTAAGATGGTATTTATTGAGCAAATACTAGCTCTGTGATAGGTTGAGGGGAAACAAAGATAAAGACTTTTCCAGTTCTTATTAACTATGGAAGGAGATGGATCAGGAAAACTTACCAAAATATGTTGTTTTGACATTTTGATTATCGATAACTGCTGTAATTATTGATAACTGCTAAAGAATGAGATAGAACATTGAATCAGAGGGCTGCTATTTTAGCTTAAGTGTTGAAAGTGGTTCTCTCTGAGGAGTGGAAATAGGAGTTGAGATCTCAATAAAGAGAAGGGATGATTATTTGAATTCCTGGTGAGAGCATTTAAGGTGAAGAGAGAGGTTTCTGAATTCTTACATGGGCTTTGCACATTTAGGGTATAGACAGAAAGTCCATTTAACTGGTGGCTGATGGATTAGGGAGAGTATAAGGAAGAAAGAGGTAACCTGGGGCAGAGGCTAGGTTTCACCAGCCATGCCAGATAATTTAGGTTTTATTGAAATTAAGGCAGGTCCTGTGTTATCTCGTTCATTCTTCTCAGCCACCTTGTGAGGTTAGTTTATTCCTATTTATATATTAAGTGGCTGAGACTTAAATAAGGACTTAGTTAAGATCAATCATCTAGTAAGTGACAGGGCTGGGATTTGACCACGTGCTCTCCATGCCAAGATCTGCCCTCTTCAGCTACACATAGCTGCTCATTGAAAGCTGCCCACGGAAAAGCTGCTGCAAGCTTTTCAGTGATTCCAGTCTAAAACTTCCAAAGATGTTTTGGGTATATGTGGGAGTTTTGAAAGATTACTAGTGGTGTCAAGAACGGAGTCCTGCTCTGGATTTTACAAGTTCAAGCTCAAAGGATGGGGGCTCTCTTGTTCAGAAAAACTAGAATTTACAAGACAGGGACCATATGGAGTTCAAGAGGAAATGCTGGCTGTTAGAATCAGAAAGCTATGTTCCAGACGGGCAGACCTCAGGTGGATAATTAAGGAGGAGTGAGTGGAGAAAATGAGAAATCTTCCAGAGATTGGGAAAATGAGAGACAGTGTACAAAGTGCAGCTATTGGATGTCCGTGGTTTGCCTATAGATGCCTGTTGCTCTGTTAGGTCAGATCAACATTAAGAGTCGCAGTGAAACAAATTCAAAGGCAGCCCCACTATTTGCCCAGAGTCAAGACAACCCTGATGAGAAGACATGGTCTTGATGCACTACCCTCTCATTATCTTGTATGTGCTGCCACTATTAGATTGGAGGAAAATTCATCTCCACATTTGATGCTATTTTTTTAATTTAATGCCTTAAAAATTTCTTGCAAGTTTACCAATAGAGTTACAGTTTATTTATCAGAAGGAATTTGAATCAATATTTTTAAAATGCTTAGGAGTATAACTACCACATATAATTTGTTACCTTATTCTGATTGATGTCTTAGTAGTCAAAATAAAGGCCTTTAATGTGAGTCCACAAAACAAATCAAATCGCTGAGCATAAAACAAGTTATTTCTTTTTAGAAAGGCAATTGGTATAGATAGGGAGAAAAGAACATCATTAAATAGATAATTCTAGGATTAAAATTTATAAGGTTTAGAGATAAAAGAGTCAGATGAATGTTATTATCAAATCATAGTTATGGTTCTGTTTGTTCTAGTTCCAAAATTAAGGCGATTTGCAGAAGTAAAGGCTCTTAGAATCCTGGGGAGGAAAGGATTTTTCTCTGTTTCAAGAGATAGTATGTTGATTCCACTGCTAAAAAGTCCCTAGTGCCTGTTTTCATTGCCACACTCCTCATGCCTAGCACGGTATGTAGTCTGGCACAGAGCAGATGTCCAATAAATATTCACTAAGTGAAAGAGGTGGCTCAGCAAGACTCCACAAGAATATTCTAGTAGAAGGCACCCATCACTGTCATATAGTGGTTTCTATAAAATGAGATATAATTTACAAATTAACCAAATTCTTTTCTCTCAGGCACTCTCTCAAGAAGAGTTTTTTCCCCCCATTTTTTTCCCCTCAGAATGTTGTCAGATTTGGCCTAGGTCCAGATACTTCAAGTACTATGAGAATCCTAACATTTATGTTGCTTTTTAAGTATAGTATGTGCTCAAAGTGTAGTACTGCGTAAGGAGGGTGCTTGTTTGAAAGAATCACTCACACTTCCCCCTCACCCCCTTTTAATCTTAAAACAGGATAGAGACTCTTGATGGGAAGATTTTCAAAAAAGCAGAGCTTGAAGAAAAGCTGAAAAAGTTAAAGGTAATTTAATTTAATACAGCGAGGTACATTTTTCATTCTTGAATGTGTGAGTGGTAGAATAAAGATCTATTTGAGGATTTGAGATAGCCCTTGAGGATGAAAAGTCATGATGAGTCTAAACTATTGAATTATCAAGAGCCACCCAATTACCTTGGCAGGGATATTAAATTCCACACACCAGTGTAAAGCCTCTTTCCGTTCCTCTTTCTGCATGTCTATGAGGCTCAGGGCGGCAACAGGAAGACACATCACTTCAAGGACTTTTCATTAACGCACCTGTGATCTCTCTTAATTTACATTTTGTTTGGGAAAAAGCAAAGGAGTTGGTCTTTTTGACATTTTCCTGAGAACTGTGCGTGTGCGTGTGTGTGTGTGTGTGTGTGTGTGTGTGTGTGTGCAGGAGGGCCTGGAATTGTTGCTCTTCCATTGTCAACCTTTGTATCTTTTTATTCTACTGTATTACTGTATTCTTACTTCAGAAACCATTCTCTCTACTCCTGTAATTTGAATTTGCTTTCACTGGCAAACACACCATCAATTTCAAAGAAGAATAATTAAAGTTTACAGAAGGTGGTCCATAAAGCAGATATTTGGTCAAAATTCCTAGGACTGGATCTTATTGATGTTCTTAAAAAAATCAGTGTTCCAGGCTCTGCCAGGCCAAGGTGCACATGCCCTGAGTGTTGCCCTGCTCATCCTTCCCCCAGCCTCAGTTGACCTCCATCCTGGAGTTCCCTTTGCGTGCAGCAGAGCTACCAGTTTCATTGTGGTGTCAGGTTTACTGGTTACTTAGGAATAGCTGGGGAGTATTTCTCTGTTTTTTTCTTTGGTAGAATTCTCATAGCATCCTCTGAATCATCTGGACTCATGGTTATTTTTTGTGGGAACCCTAAACTACAATTTCAGTTTCTTAATTAGTTATAAGACTGCTCAGGCATTCTGTTCTTTTTTTTTTTTTTTTGAGTTATGCTTTGTTGAGCTATATGCTTTTATTTGTTTATGTTTTATTTTTATGCCTTTTCTTCTTTTTTACATAAGCAGTTTTTTCACTTTTTCCTTTAAGCAGTTTCCCTGTTTTTGAATCTTTTCAAAACCAGTTTATCTGTGACAAATGTTTGTCTTTATTTTTCAGATTGCTCTTAAGATGTTTGTCTTTACTGATCTCATTTTCACTACAATGTGATTTTCCTGGATTAATTTCTAAATTTATACTACCTGGAACTTACAATACTCTATCACTCTGAAGACTTGTGACTTTCTTCAATTTGAGAAAACTATCAGCTTGGTCTCTTTGAATATACCTTCTCCATCATTCCTTATATTACTTCTGTGATTCCTGGTAGAGATCACTTAGAGTCTCTTAATTTATCTTCCATGCTTCCTAACCACTCTTTCATATTTTGTGTCACTGTCTTTTTTGGTATGTTCTTTTAAAATTTCTTAGTGATATTTTCAGAAATGTTGTCTGTGTTCTGTATCAAAAATGTTCTTCCAATTGAGTTTAAAAAATTATTTATGTCAATATGTTCTTGTTTTATTTCTTTTAAATTTCCTTTTCTTATGAGTATTGATTATATTTCTCTATCAGCAGATCATGAATATTTTTATTTCAAAGCTTTCTCTGCATACATTTTTATTGTCATTTTATTTGGTGAGAATACATGTACTGATTATCAATTTTATTGTCTTTCTCACTATTAAACTTCTGTGGGTGTTTTGGAGTTCAAATTGCCCACTTTCTTTCTGTGGTGGCCTCTCCCTTCTACTTAATGTGATTGTTGAGCAATTACCTCCTCCTAGTACTCCCAAGCTCCTAATCCAGAACCAGGTCTGAGAGTTTGGAAGCCTTCCCTGGGAGGGCAGATGTGCTCCTTGGCTCAGGTCACAGAGCCAGCCATGCTTATGCTCACCTGCTTCTCAAGATACAAACTCTGTAGGAACCATAGCCACCCTCAGTGGCATTGCTCAGTGTCCTTTTATCAATGTTCTTTTCTAAACAGGAAACTTGACTGTGTCCTGCATCTCAGATAAATGCATTTAAACTATATCTCGCCATAGGATCCAAATTCCAATCTACCTCTTTCTGCTTCTTCAGCTGCAGCAGAACTTCAGATTCATAGGAATGATTTCTTCTTGCCCTTTGTCCCATTTTTCATCTTGAAATTATAATATTTTCAGTTCTTCTCTTGAACCAGAAATGTATGGGTCTGACCTTTAACCAGGGTCAGACTGGTGTCCCCTTCACCAATGACATTTAACTTGTGCATTCTATGTTAGTGTGCATTCTGTTTCACAGAGACTCTTTGTGGGAGTCACAAGCTCTATTGTAGAAACACTGGTTTCTTCTGAGTCATGTTTTCAGGGATTCCCTTTCTCATAACTTATGATTCAAATATTTAACATGAGAACAGAACACCTGACAGGCTATCTGAGAGAGCGAGTTTTTAAATCTAACTCTGCTGTTTAGATTGGTAGCCCTTGGGAAATATTTTGCCACATCGAGCCTTTATTTTCTAATCTGGAACTTTTTAGGTTAAGAAAATTAAATAGCATGTTATCTACGAAAGCACTATGAAAGTAGTGAAGTAATATGAAATGCTTAGCTGTCTCATGTAGATGGAAAACAATGGAAATGTATTTGGAACCAGTCCAGACTGTCCTAGTTGAGAGCTGTTTGGGAAGTTATTATTTCACATATTCATTCAGCCAATATTAACCGAGCAACTGCAGAAGACAGGTGCCGACCTGGGCACAGTGAGATGATCTGGCCCCAAATGGTAGGATCGCACCTGTGCTTTACTTTTCTTCTAATTGTTGAAGTTAGATTGGTGCGAATAAACAACTGTGATTTTAAAAACAGGCAGAAACAAAGTCTGAGGAAAATAGGGAAGTTAGTTAGAGATTAAAATCTCTTAGTCACTTTTTGACGCATCTGCTGTCTTCACTGGTATTTTCTTGGTTTAAGTGATAAAGCATTAGATGACTGGGCCAGATGAACAACGCAGATATTTGAAAATACTTATTTTCACAAAAGTATTAGCTATTTAGCAAGTTTCTACATAGTCAGTACAACTTCCTCTTCTCTACATATTTACTTTTAACTGTCAACTTATCCTTATTCTCCCCTTCTGGACTCATCTCTCCTGCTGGAGATGAAATTCTTTAAAAAAGAAAAAAGAGATTGATATGTGTGCCAGATTCTTGCTAGTTCTTTATTCCCTGGTAAACTCCAATCTTCACATGAGCACAGATATATAAGTTAATAAGAGGTATGATTTGGTCGCTCACTCATCTTATAGCCATATAAACTGTATTATAGTATAGAAAGAAATTAGCTGAGCCAGACATTTTATTGCTTTGATTTATGGCTTGTGTATTATATTGGAAACCATAAGGATTGTTGCTAAATGTTACTGTTATTGAGGCTTGGAAAATTCTTTTTTTTTTTTTTTTTTTTTTTAAGTTTTTTTTTTTATTTATTTTATAGAGGCATGTTTTATTCATTTATTTGTTTTGTTTGTTTGTTTGTTTTGTTTATACATGCACTGGGTACAGTCAGAAGCGCGGGAGGGTGAGAGAATTCACCAGAGCCAGAGCGGGGAGCAGAGCAGGCAGAAGGACAGAAGTACACTGCTGAGGGGAGCAGCGGGCGGCAGGAGAGGTCTGCGCGCCATGTGGGACCCTCCTCCGGTGGCCGGGGAGCAGCCGGGGATCGAACCGGCGCCGCAGAGGCTGCGGGCAGCTTCGCAACCCAGCGCTCAACCGCTGCGCCACTGGGGAGGCCCTGAGGCTTGGAAAATTCTGCCCAGTGACTGTTTAGTCCCTGAAATAGGGAACCAGCTGTTTTCCTGGTTTAAGCATTTAAAGAAAATATATGTATTATTTTCTTACCCTTAGGCCTTCACCTTCCAAATGTACTTTTTCCTCTCTTCCTTTTTAGTCTTCATCTGTCCCTTCCAAATCGCTTCATACAAAAGATCACTTGTTTCCAACTCTCTACCTTTCGTTGAGATGATGTTCACAGGCCAATCTGAGCTGTGTCTGACTGTTGGACTTGTGTGTGTGTGTGTGTGTGTGTGCATTTAAAGATTTACTTTATTCATTTATGCATACAAGAGTTGGGGGTGTAGGCCAGAGGTAAAGGTAGTGAGAGGATTCACCAGAGACAGCGTGGGGAACAGAACAGGCAGATCTACTGAAATACACTGCTGAGGAGAGCAGCTGGCTAGACAGGAGAGGTCTGCTGCATCATGTGGGTCACCTTCCAGGTGTGGGATCAAAGTCAGGCAGCAGTGGCTGGCGATAGCTTGATAGCACTGCATCTTTAACCCCTGCACCACCAGGGAGGCCTTGACTGCTGGACTTATTATGAGAAAGATAACAAAAAAAGGAGTGGAGCAGAAGTCAGGAGGAGGAAGAATGAGCCTTTGAATGTGCTTGTCAGGTGCCTTCTGTCTGGTTTGCTTTGTCTTCCCTTCTCTCCACCATGTATGTAGGCCAGTCGAGGCCCTGTGATGTCTGCTGAACATTAGAACAGCCACTTCATTCCACCTCTGTGTGCTGGGGGCAGTGGAGGAAGGAAGTAAATAAGAAGTCAAGGTGCTCAGCCAAGCTCTAAGTTTAGCTCTCCAAAAAAGCCTTTCAGAACAAGTTGGCTTCCCCTTTTTGGTGTAAAAAATAAATTTTCCAACAGAAAAGACTGTTTCAGTGCTCTTGGTTTATAGACTGATGGTGGTAGTTATTGAACATTTACTAAATTCCCGTCACTGTTCTAAACTTTTTTATCTCTACTCACTCAATCCTCATAATCCCAGTGTTAGCTTCTATTATTGTCTTCATTTGCGGATGGGAGAAGCCCAGAATATAAATATTTCAAATGAATGGGAGGGGTTGTTAGTGCCAGAAGGAAAGGAAAAAAATTAATGACAAATCTCAACACCCAGAAGTCAATTTCTGTCTTCATTGGAGTTTCTAATAATTAGCACTGTTTTTCTTTCTTGCAGCAAAACTTGAAGAAAAAGTGCGTGGAGTACCAATCTCTGCAGTTACAGGAACATCGCTTGCTTCATGGTAAATGTGATTTCCTGTTCACAAACCACAATATTATTTATTTCATCCTTTCAATATTTATGTCTTTAAGTTGTTTTAAGATTATCATTACAAGAAAGATTTGTCTGGCATGGGTCTAGGATAGCAGTTTGTGTTTCTTTGGCGTGACCTTTGGAGTGACCTATATATTTGGAGGGAGGGGTAAGTCATGTGACACCCCTGTTCCACATGCATAAAACACACACACACACACACACACACACTTGCAGAAGGCACCTGTAGATTTTAGAAGTAGGAATGATTGTCTATGTCTCCTACTACTTCAGCGGATGAATTAAGAGAGAAATTCAGGGCCTCCCCAGTGGCGCAGCGGTTGAGCACTGGGTTGCGAAGCTGCCTGCAGCCTATGCAGCGCCGGTTTGATCCCCAGCTGCTCCCTGGCCACTGGAGGAGGGTCCCACATGGCGCGCAGACCTCTCCTGCTGCCCGCTGCTCCCCTCAGCAGTGTACTTCTGTCCTTCTGCCTGCTCTGCTCCCTGCTCTGGCTCTGGTGAATTCTCTCACCGTCCTGCGCTTCTGACTGTACCCAGTGCTTGTATAAATAAATAAATAAATAAATCAGGCTGGAATGGGACATGCATCTTAGGCAGAGTTTCTTCCCAAGATAGATACATTAGGTAGAATACATATATTCTCCCTAAGATAATGTTTAAGGTACATAAACACGTAGAAATCTTTCTTTGTGGCCCTAAACCCAAGACAGAAATGTGGATGTAACTGTTACCATAGTGTTCATTCTGAGGGGAGACTTTGTTAATTTGACATATACTGTGTGACTGGTATACCTGAGGAATGAACTTGTATGTAGAAATAATTCCCTGAAACCACTAGCTATGTGGGTATGAAATATAAGCTATCTCTTCTCCAGAGAATTGTTTCATGACTGAGAATATCCCATAAATGATATCCCATTTATAGATAACAGAATATATTTCTTTCTTTCTTAGGCACTAATTTATGTCTTAGAGGTTTGTGTTGAAGTTCTGGGTTTTTTTGGTTGTTAGGATTTTTAGTGAAACTTATGTATCATTTATCTTTTATATAAGTTTTAATTAAAATTTAAAAAAATTAATAACATTTTTGGAGGGAGACTAAAATTTGTTAGTAAAACAGACACAAAAAGAAACTATCACCTGGATTTATATAAATTGTAGGTGTTTGGGAAGCCTTTGCTTCCATTTTTGAAACATTCTGGAATGGAGATAGGGTTTGATAAATATAGGTAATCCTAAACTTCATGGAAATGCCTTTGTACAGACAGAGTCCTTAGGCTAGGATTAAGGAGACCAGTTTCTCATAAGGCCATTGTTGTACATGTTACACAAATTTTAATGATATATATGTATTTTTTTTTTATTGAGGTAGTGTTGCATTGTTTGTATTTTGGAAGTATAGGATACCTCCCTTCTGGTGATAGTACTATAATGAACCCTCCACCCAAGCACCCATAGTTCACTATGACAGTCCATTGTACTCCCTCCCCACTCCTTGCTTGTCCCTTTCCTTTCCCCTCAGAATGTCCCAGTTCTATAGTCTGCTTTCAAAGGCAAGGTTTTGAGTTTGGCTTAATCTGACCCTTTTCCTGGTTTTTCTATATTCCACATTTAAAGGATACTGTCCAGTATTTGTCTTTCTCCTTCTGGCATATTTCACTTAGCAAAATACCTTCCAGCTCCATCCATGGTGATGCAAATTGCATGAGTTTGTCTTTTTGATTGCTGGAAAGTATTCCATTGTGTGTATATGCCACATCTTCTTGATCTATTTATCTGTTCTGAGGCACTTAGGTTGTTTCTATAGTTTAGCTATAGTAAAGAGTGCTGCAAAAAACTTGGGAGTGCAAATGACCTTTTGAATTAGTGTTTTTGAATTTTTTAATATTTTTTATTTATTTAAATATTTTATTTTATATAATTCTTACATCTTTTTTCATCTTTGCACAATGTATGCATTTTCATTTTGGTTATATTTCCCATACAATTGAACCCCCCCCCCCCCCCCCCCGCCCCCCCCCCCCCCCCCCCCCCCCCCCCCCCCCCCCGGTTTATAGTTGCTTGTTGATTTTGATTTTTACTTTGTATTGATTAGTCTTTTTCCTGGTCTCTTATTTAGGTTTTCCATGCCTAGAAGTGAAATTACTGGGTTGAATGGCAGATCCATGCATAATGTTTTGAGACGAATCCATACTGTTTTCCATAAGGGCTGGACCAATTTACATTCCCACTAACAGTGTAGGAGGGTTCCCTTTCCTCCACATCCTTGACAGTGATATGGGAACTGTAGGTTTTCAGGCCTAGTCTCCCAGCCAGGAATGGATCCCAGGCTGCAGTGGCAGCGCTGAGCCCCAGCCACTAGACCACCAATGGGGTTGGTGTCTCACGAAGCTGCAGCAGGAACTTCGCAGATGCTCAGGCAAGCAAGCAAGAAGAGGCAGATTTGTTTAGGAAAAGAAAAAGCTTATTGAGGAGAAAAGAAACAGAAATAAAGTAGGACTCCCAGGCCATGGAAACGGGGCGGGGGGGGGGGGGGGGCCAAGAGAGCCCAAGTGTAGTCATGCCTCAGGGAATATAGACCTTCTTTCCCTAATTATTCTAAAGTTCCACCAGTCTCTGTGATTGGTTAGTTCTCGGTGGTCTCACTGATTGCCAAAATGTCTCTGTGCCCCAGCCCTTATCTTTCTTTCTTCATTGCCCTCGATTTAGAATGTCTTGTTGACCCTAAGGTCATAAAGTAAGTCCCTAATGTCAAAAGTCCTGGGGTGTTTGATTAGTCCCCTTTGTAATTTGTGGCCCTTATCTCTGGAGCCTTCCTTAACTCTCCTGAAGTCCCTGCACTGCCCTTGAGGCTGCCTAATTATCCTTAACTTGCCCTAGGATTCACCAGCACTTGTTATTTCTGGTCTTTTGATATGGGCCTTTCTCATAGGTATAAGATGGTATCTTATGGTGGTCTTGATTTGCATTTCTATTATAATAAGTGATTGTGAACATTTTTTCATGTGCCTGCTAGCTGTTTTAATGTTTTCCTTCAAGAGGTGTTATAGGTACATTTTTTGAGCAATTAAGAGAGTTCTCCTTTAGTTTATTTTGTCTTTATCTACAATAAATATTCAGGGCATGAGATTCTACAAGGCAATTGTTCATCAATGAAGAGAAATTCATCAGCCTACTAGAAGAAATAACATAGGTTCTATTAGCAAAAAGGAAAGCATCATGACTAGTCACTGCAGTGCTGGCCCCACTCAACTTTGCTGATCAAATGGAAACATAATCTCTTTTTACATAGTCAACTAAGGACAAGGTAGAGCTGCCAGAGAATTAATCAGCACAACATAAAAGCATTTCTTAGTGTGCAATGTTCTATGACTTTCCCTGAAGCAGTCACCTTTTAACTATGCCTTGCACAGGCTAGTACTCCAAAAACTCTCTTTTTCTTTTTTTAAGATTTATTTATTTATTTATATAAGCACTGGGTACCGTCAGAAGGGCGGGAGGGTGAGAGAATTCACCAGAGCCAGAGCGGGGAGCAGAGCAGGCAGACTGACGAAATACACTGCTGAGGGGAGCAGCAGGCTGCAGGAGAGGTCTGCACGCCATGTGGGACCCTCTCTGGTGGCCGGGGATCGAACCGGCGCTGCAGAGGCTGTGGGCAGCTTCACAGCCCAGCGCTCAACCGCTGCGCCCCCAAAACTCTCCTTTCTATCAGCAGCATACCACCTCCTTTGGGAGGCCCCCAAAACTCTCCTTTCTATCAGCAGCATACCACCAGCTCAAATAACACAGAAGCAAGTAGCAAGTGGCTAGGAGTACAGGGATGCTTACTTGGTGCAGTACCACCCCCGACTATTTAACTAATCCAAGAAATATGGACTATTGAGACTAGAAGTTATTTCTGTTTTGAATAATTTTGAATTACTTGTTTATAATCAGGTTATAAGTACAATTTATGTAACTGTTTCCCATATACTTAGGTGTTATAATAATTTTATGATTATGTAAAAATGGCTTTTAATCAGAAGAACTAAATGGAGGAAATCCATAAGAAAACATTTCCCCATGTATATTCTTTGGAATCCCATTTCTGTGAGAATTTTAATGAAAGATTCCAGAATCACTTAAGTTTTGAAGATTTCAGATGAGTTGAACTGTTCTCCTGTAAAGAATCTTATTTAAATTTATTTAATCTAAAATTTCTATTTTCATGACTATGAAATCCTTTTATATGGAAGGTAGTCCATGAAAAATAGTTGGGAAAATTCAACTATTTTATCACATTACTTATTCATGAAAGTCAAAGTTCAGTGAAAAATATTATTCACTTTCACTTTTTCTTGTGCCCTTCAAAGAGAAATTTTGGTGTGTTTACTTATAGGGAATGATACTTAGATTCATTCCTTAGCAGACTTTGTTTTCTGTATTTCAGGCGATGCAGCTAACTGCCCATGTTTGGAAAACATGGACATAGATGAATCAACTTTGTTTGGAAACCTGCCTGGACCAAGCTTGATGCTCATGGACCAGAATCGATTATCCAGTGAGAGTAGCTGTAGGAGCTGGCTGAGCTCCATGACGATTGACAGTGAGGATGGCTACCAGACATGTATGTCTGAGGACTCAGCCAGGGGAGCCTTCAGCCGCCAGACAAGCACAGATGACGAGTGCTTTGTCCCCAAGGATGGGGATGATTTTCTGAAGAGATCTTCTTCCCGGAGGAACCGGAGCATTAGTACCACCAGCAGTGGGTCCATGTCTCCTTTGTGGGAGGGCAACTTTTCAAGCATGTTTGGGACCCTACCTCGGAAAAGCAGAAGGGGAAGTGTCCGGAAGCAACTTTTGAAATTCATCCCTGGCCTTCACCATGCTGTGGAAGAGGAAGAGAGTCGCTTTTGAGGGGATACAAATACATCTACACTCGTCTAGATCAATTCCATCCAGCTTAGTGGAAAAAGTACAGCTGAAATGCAAAACTGATGTCCTATTTCATGGCAATAGTGACCTTTATTTAAATTTTTGTACCTTTTTTTGTTTCTTAAATCATGAAACTGGAGCAGCTCAAGGTCTAAGCAGATGGTAGAAAAACTAATTAGTAAGACGGTTAATAGAACAAATTAACTCAAGTGCTGGCTCATTTTAAAGCAGCAGTAATATTTAATTTCTATATTTTCTATGTGAAAAATTGAGAACTTTTGGAACTAAAATAACAACTATTACAATTGTTACAATAGTAGCAATTATTACAATTATTTGGATTGGTAATTGGTAAGCGCCAATACTTTATTTTTGCTTAAGTTCAGTGGCCTCTGGGGAGACTCACAGTCAATTTTGAATGTTTCTGTACAAATCCGTGGAGACTGATAAGGAGAGATGACCATCGGCCATTTCTTATATCCATACTTGCGAGGTAAGATTTAATCTGAAGGCTTATGCATCATAATATCCATGGAAAGATGCTTCAGACAGGCACTAAGGAAGATCATGTCCTGTTTGTAGGCAGCCTGAACCAGATGGGTGGGAATGTCATTTTTTGTACCTGATTCAACTCTTATTCTACCTGAACATTGATAATAAATCTAGAATTCGCAAGATCCTACATTTTTGTCAATAGTTTTTTTTTTTTTTTTAAACCAAGGTGTCTAAAATTTGAAACATTAGTGTTGGAAAAAGTCTTCTACAGACTTTTCCACATTATTCTTCACTTATGTTATATATTCCAAATAGTTATTGACTCAGTATTCTTTTGCCTATTAATTATGTTCATATGTTACATCTAGCATTTCAATCATATTTTCATTCAGTGCCTATTAAAGTCCATGATTTCTCTGTTCTGGTAATACTGCTGCTCATTTCCTATATTCTAGAGCAGATAATCTGGACAATGCAAAAGCATTCCTTATTAATTTTAAGTTGTGTATGTGTGTGTGTGTGTGTGTGTGTGTGTGTGTTTGGAAGAAACAGACAGTGGAACTCTGCACTTATGTAAACTGAGGAAGACATTAGTTTATTTTGAGAAAAGAGGGACAGGTAAGGAAAATTGTAGGTAAGAAATAAATTTTAAAAATGAAAGGATTTTTGGTTGGGACCTGCTTCTACTAATTCTTTGAACCAAGAAGCATCCAGTGGGCTCTGCTTGAGATTCATCCCTATGAAAGCCAACACGAGTGTTTCACAGGACAGTGGCGCTCCTCTCTGCCATTTACTGACTGTTAAGTGTGCTTTCCATGTTTTACTCTCTATAGCCCTGTAGATAGGTGTTATGTACACAGATAAATAATTGCAATCTGAAAAAGTTCCCCTGGTCAGTGGTAAGACTGCAACTAGAAGCCAGTTCTTCCTGACCCTAGCCTATTCTGGTCTTTCTACAAATTTTTTATTCTTTTTCTGGTTCTGTATAGTTATCACTGTGGCACTTGGTGATACACAGTTGTAAATACTGCATGGATCAAGACATTATCTTTGGAAACAGGAAAATTAACACACATTAATAGTGATTCTTTCTCCAGGCCTCCACAAACAAGTTTTAAGATGTGGACAAATTAATAATTGCACAGTTGGCAATATAATTTTATTTTCAACAAGGGCTTTGCAAGCCAGTTGTGGTTTGACTAATATGCTTACTTCTCATTGTAGGCTACAATTATCATACTAAGGATCTACTTACATAAGTGTAGCTTTTTCTGTTAATTGTAATTCAAGTGCAGGGGAAAGACATATCACATTTTATTTTTAAAGATTTATTTATTTATGCATACAAGAACTGGGGTGCAGGCCAGAGGTATGGGGGTGAGAGTATTCACCAGAGACAGAATGGAGAACAGAACAGGCAGACTGACTGAAATACACTGCTGAGGGAGTAGCGGGTGAGACAGGAGAGGTCTGCTGCACCATGTGGGTTAGCTACCTGGCCAGCTTAGGGTCAAACTCTGGTGATAGCTTGATAGCACTGTCTCTAACCCCTGTGCCATCTGGGAGGCCCAGGACATAGCACATTTATTTGAAGAAAGACGACTGGAATTCTTCCACAGTGTGAATAATGTTTCGAGAACTATGACAGGTCATCTGGGAAAACAGAGCCTTGGTAATTATCTTTTCTTGTGGCTTTAAGTGGTAAATATAGTGTGTACTTCTGTTTTACAGATCATCAAACCAGAGAAAAGGGACAGAGCATATTGTTCAGTAGCCTGTGCTACAAAGAATTAGAGTCTAAGGTTAGATATGTTCTGGAAAAAAAGAAAAACACTTGTTAACCAATGTACAGGAAGTAAGGTTATGTCATGATCTGTGTGAACACAATTTGTAAGAAAACTGTTGTTTAGTGGAAATGTGGGTAAATTTCTCACGGCTTAGCTTTTCCGACTGAGCCTGACTTTAGTGAGGCTTTAGAAAATTTTATTTCTCTAATTTTTTTGGTGCATAGTGGCTCACTTTAATATAATTTTCTAGGGAAAGACTTGAAAAATGAAATTTTTTTAACCCCAAACTGCCAAATATGTAATATTGGTGAATTGTACTTATTGACAATTTATTATGAAAAGGCATTTTTCTATCAAGTGTGGCATTGATAAGCCAAATGGGAATTAAATATACTGGGAATTAATCTGTCATGTAACCAAAGGAATACCACCATGTCAAAATGATTGCAATTGTAATTTTTCCAACTTTTTGTTTCAAAAATTTCTACTTGGCAATACTTGTATATCTTAGTTGCATGATACAAACAGTATTAAAAATCCAAGCTTGAACTGAAGAAATAAAACTTGGACATAGTTCGTGGGTACTAATCATAAAGTGTAAGTATAGATGTGTACAATCTAAGTACAATAAATAATACATAGCTATATTGAGGGCTTCAGATCACAAAAGTATTGATACTTTGTATTCATTTACTTATAAAATGATAGTCAATAAAATAAAACCTTGACACCTTTCTAAAATAAAGAAAGCTATTCTTTAGTGTCTGAGTTTCTGTTCTCCCTTTCAACCTGAAATGCTTGTTTTAAAAGCAGATTTTGTTTTAAACCTGGGGTGACAATTTGACACCAAATTCTTTGTAGTCCTTGAAAGGCATTATCTGCTTACTTGAGAATTTATACTTGTATTAGCTTTATCTTAATGCTTAACAAATTACCACAAATGGAAAGGCTTTATACACATTTATTATCACAAAACTTCTGTGAATTGGTGTTTTGGGGGCCTCACAGGCTGCACTCAACAAGGGTAGAATTCTTACTTAGAGGTTTGCCTGGGGAAGGATCTACTACTAATCTCCCTCAGATTGTTGTCAAAATCATTTCCTTGGGGCCATAAGATTCAATGGAGGGAAAGAAAGACAGACTGCAAGCAAGGCAGAGTCATAAATAAAGCAATGTAACCACAGTGTTACATCCCATCATCTTTGCCATGTTCTGTTTTCACACACAATTACAGAGTGCACCCACACTCAAGAACAGGGATTAACAATGGCATGAGCATCAGAAGGTGGAGAGCAGGGGTTTACCTGAGAGTCTGCTCACACCACCATTAGGGACTTCACAATCTTTATAATATAAAGATGTTGAGCCTTCTTCAAACCATTTTGAGTAGAAATAAGTAGGAATGTCACTGTCTTTAATTTTATTTAGAGAAATGGTAGGATTAAAAAAACTTTGGAATAAAAAGAACCTGGCCAAGATTATATAACTGGCCAGAAAATGGAGTAAGAAACTGAATCCAAGGCTGTTACGAACCTTCCATTTTTGTCTCCTAAGTTCGAGAAATGGTAGGAGATTTTAGAAGAATAAAGAAATGAAATATTTGCTTTCAAATTCTGCTCAGAGTATGTCTGAATATTTTTTTTTAATAGAGGCATGTTTTATTTATTTATTTGTTTGTTTGTTTGTTTTTTTGTTTATACATGCACTGGGTACAGTCAGAAGCGCGGGAGGATGAGAGAACTCACCAGAGCAGAGCGGGGAGCAGGGAGGCCCGAATGTCTGAATATTTAAGTGAATTCAGTAGTTGGCATGTTGGACTGTCACTTCTATGTGGCTACATTTTTAGAAGAAGACAGGGACTGATTTCACAGTCAAATGAAATAAAACCTCATACTCAAAACTACACAGCACAAAAGGAAATAATTAGTCATGAGCAAAATCAGGAGCTATCACTCAAAGAATTACCAGAGTTTTGGAAAATCAAGCAGTTTTGAAGAACATGAAACATATATTTTAGGAATAAGGACAATTCCCTTAACCTGAAAAAGAACATCTACCAAAATCCTATTGCAAATTTCATAATGATAAATAAGTGGAAATTTTTCCTATAAGATTAGGTCTAACAAAAGGAGGTCTTCTTACCATTTCTGTTCACTATTGTACTGAAAGTTCTAGCTAGTGCAATAAGACAAGGAAAGGCGATAAACTGTATATAAACTGGGAAGGAAGATATAAAACCATCTTTGTTTCCAGAAGAATGGTTGTCTGTGAAAAATTCTAAATAATCAACAACATAAACAAAAAATCCTGGAACTAATAAATGAGTATATCAAGGTCACATGACACAGATTAATATACAATAAGTCAAATGATTTCCTAAATACCAACAATGAACAATTGAGAGTTGAAATTAAACAAATAATACCATTTGTAATAGATATAAAAAATGAATTATGTTCAGGATATATATGCGAAAAAGTAAAATGCTGATGAAAGAACTCTAAGAAAATCTAAGCAGGTAGATAGTCTGTGTTCATGAATTGGAAAGTTCAATAGTGTTAATATTTTTTTTTTTAATTTTTTTTTTTAAGAGGCATGTATTATTTATTTATTGTTTGTTTGTTTGTTTGTTTACACATGCACTGGGTACAGTCAGAAGCGCGGGAGGGTGAGAGAACTCACCAGAGCCAGAGCGGGGAGCAGAGCAGGCAGAAGGACCGAAGTACACTGCTGAGGGGAGCAGCGGGCGGCAGGAGAGGTCTGTGCGCCATGTGGGACCCTCCTCCCGTGGCCGGGGAGCAGCCGGGGATTCGAACCGGCGCTGCAGAGGCTGCGGGCAGCTTCGCAACCCAGCGCTCAACCGCCGCGCCACCAGGGAGGTCCCAATAGTGTTAATATTTTAATCCTAACTTAATGGATAGATTTAGTGAAATCCCAATCAAATTTACAACAAGCTATTTTGTAGAAACCAATACATATATTTTTATATGGGAAGGCAACAGACCTAGAATAGCCAATATAACACTCAAGAACACAATTTAAGAAATCACATTACACAATTTCAAGTCTTTCAATAAATCTACTGTAATAAGACAGCATGGTATGGCAAAAGACAAGACATACTCATCAATGAAAATGAATTGAGTGCCTACACTCACACAAATATAGCCACTGATCTTTGACAAAGGAATAAAGATAGTTAAATGGAGAAGGAATAATATTTTCAATAAATGGCTCCAGAACAATAGGACATCCATATGCATGACCTTCCATATTTCACAGAAAATAATTTAAAATAAATAATAAAACTAGATATAAAACATAAAAATATGAAAGTTACAGAATATAACATAGAAAACATTTAGATTGGGCCTCCCTGGTGGCGCAGCGGTTGAGCGCTGGGTTGCGAAGCTGCCCGCAGCCTCTGCAGCACCGGTTCGATCCCCGGCTGCTCCGCGGCCACCGGAGGAGGGTCCCACATGGCGCGCAGACCTCTCCTGCCGCCCGCTGCTCCCCTCAGCAGTGTACTTCGGTCCTTCTGCCTGCTCTGCTCCCCGCTGTGGCTCTGGTGAATTCTCTCACCCTCCTGTGCCTCTGACTATACCCAGTGCTTGTATAAATAAATAAATAAATATTAAAAAAAAAAAATTAAAAAAAAAAAAACTTACTTAAAAAAAAAAAAGAAAAAGAAAACATTTAGATTACCTTGAGTTTGAAGATGAGTGTTTATATAAACCAAAAGGATGATTCATGAAAGGAAATGCTAGTACATTGGATTTTTTTAAAATTAAAAACTGGTTTTGAAAAAATACTGTTAAGAAGTAAATGAAGAGGGCCTCCCTGGAGGCGCAAGGGGTTAAGCACCGCATTATGAAGCAATCCACAGCCTCTGCAACAGGAGTTCGATCCCTGGCCAGCCAGGGAGTAACCCACATAGTGCAGCAGACCTCTCTTGTCTCGCCCGCTGCTCGCATCAGCAGTGTATTTCAGTCAGTCTGCCTGTTCTGTTCCCCACTCTGTCTCTGCTGGGTCCTCTCACCCTCTGCATCTCTGGCCTGTACCCCAGCTCTTGTATGCATGAATAAATAAATCTTAAAAGAAAAATTAAATGAAAAGTCATAGATGTTGAGAAAATTTTTGCAAAACACATAAATGAAAAATGTCTTGTATTCAAAATTTTTATAAAAATTCAAAAAAAGAATGCACATAGCCCAATTATAATATATCAAAAGACTTGAACAAACACATCATCAAAGATGGCATGTAGATAGCAAATAAGTTAGAGAGTTCAATGTCATCCGTCACTCAGAATGTGCAAATTAAATTCACATGCTACATGGCTATTAGGATGACGGAAAAAAAGAAAAGTGACAATACCAATTGCTGGCAAGCATATGGATGTACAGGAATGCTCTTTCATTGCTGGTGCGAATGCAAAATTGTATAGCCACTTTGGAAGACAAAGGCAAAAGAATGCATAAACATTGTACTTTAGTTGAAAAGATTGTTTCCCGTGGGGGTAGGCAGTGTTGGGAGCCTGCTGCCCTAAAGGGAGCTGGAGTTTTTGGAGAACACCTGTTTACTCTGTATATTGCGTTACAGGACGTTAGAAGTTCTACAAACAGAACTTATTCCCAGAATTGACTCCCGTTCTCTGAGTACGTGCTGGTTTGTGCGCATGTTCCCTACTAACCGGGGAAACTTGTTTTCAGCAGTAACATATTAATCAGTATAAGCAAAAACATAATTGTATGTTATTTTCTTGTTCCTTTGTACATATCTTTAATAAAAGCTTGGGCTGGGAGAGTGAAAGGCAGAGCTGCGCTCGATGGCACTCTCCCCAGGCTCCCCCTGCTGCAAATTCATTTAGACTCTGAGTCTTCACTAATGGCAGAGAATTTATTGGCTGTTCTGTCTGTGACAAGGTTAACCATTCTGGTATTTATTTGTGTATATTGGAATTGAACTAATAATAAAGGAATAGTTGATGTGAACCATGTTTCTCATTGTTGGGTTGGAAGTTTATAGATAAGCAAAGGAAGACGCTAGTATTATTCATGTGGAGCTTGGAGTAGAGCTGCAGATATCAGTAGACACTCAACACTCATTAGCTTAATATAGATACAGATGATTTCATAAACAGTTATAGGCATATCACAGACAGAATCTAATATAGACATATATCTTAATAGTCGATTAGATGAGAGAACCTACAAGGAATGATATCCTAGTAGCAATAAGCACACTCAGCACCAAGATCTTGTAGTCTAATGTCATTCTCCCAAAACCAGGGTGCCTTAGAGAATTGATTGACTTGAGTGACTTCTTCTAGGACTTGAGCAGGGAATAGACAAAAAAAAAAAAAAAAAAAACAGAAAGAAAGAAAGAAAAAAAAGCCCAGAGTATTTAATAGGACCAGAATGTAAGAAAGTATTTAAAACACAAAGCAAATCAAAATCTCACAATGGGGCCTCCCTGGTGGCTCAAGGGCTTAAGCCCAACACTATGAAGCAATCCGCAGCCTCTAAACACTAGTTCGATGGCCCGCCAGGGAGCAGCCCACATGGCACAGCAGACCTCTCCTGTCTCCCCTGCTGCTCCCCTCAGCAGTGTATTTCAGTCATTCTGTACTTTCTGTTTCCCACCCTGTCTCTAGTGAATACCCTCACCCCTCACCCTGCACCTCTGACATGTATCCTAGCTCTTGTATGCATAAATAAATAAATATTAAAAAAATAAAATA